TTTTGATGCCTTCAGTGAGAATCTACAATGTAAATAGTCATGAAAATAAAGAAAACGCATTGAATGAGAAGGTGTGTCCAAACTTTTGGCCTGTACTGTACATAAAAAGAAGTAACCACTATAACGTTTTCACTAGCCACAATGCTGTTTTCCGATGTTGTGGCGGACTGTCTGTGACATTAAATGTGAAACGATGACTTTAGTAGTTTTTTTTAAAGCTTTTGTATAGTTTTCATGTCACTGTCTTTATAGTGTAAAGACCTCAACTGAGGTGTCAATCAAATGGTCAGGAGTTCGCCACAACTTGGATATCAAGGAGTCCGCATATTTAAATGCAAATGAACGTTTGAAATGGTGCATGACAATTGGTAAATATTTATGGATGTAATAATGTGTTGGGACTAAATATTTTGCTGGATTTAGATTGTCTGGACCTTGAGTGTTTAAGGACTGCATGAGCAGTGTTAATGTTGACATAATATCAATCTGTGGTTTAAAATAACACTTCATTGGTGAGTTTATGACTGTATTATTATCATTATTATTATTATTATTATTATTATTATGATTATTATTATTATTTGTCTTACAGAAGCTTTTATTGAACCTGTTGTGGTGATTATGTTTTAAAATGGCATCATCAAATATGTAGCAAATTGTTCATGTTTAAAAAAACAAAACAAAAAAAAAACCACTGACCTCGCTTTATTCATGAATGAGTTTAAAATGAATAACCTGAGGATGCCCAACTGGCCACAACAAAGAGTAATTGACCCATAACTCAAAACCTGCCTCAGGGATCACTCTTGCACACAGCAAGAGGACAGATCAACAGTTCAAGATAATAAATTTACAGTAATCCATAAAACAAAATGATACATAAAGAGAGACAAAGACAGAGAGAGAGAGAGGTCCCCTGGCAGACTAGGCCTAAGTCAGCCTAACTAGGGGCTGATTCAAGGCAAGCCTGAGCCCCAGACTATGTCTGCCTCCCGGACCGAAACAGGAAGATGGTTCCACAGAAGAGGAGACTGATCGCTAAAGGCTCTGGCTCCCGTTCTACTTTTGGAGACTTTAGGAACAACAAGTAACCCTGCATTCTTAGAGCACAATGTTCTGGTGGGATAATATGGCACTATGAGCTCTCTAAGATATGAGGGAGCCTGACTGTTTAGAGCTTTGTAAGTCAGGAGAAGGTTTTTAAATCAATTCTGGATTTTACAGGGATCTCTTTTCTCTAGAGGCCAGAGCATTGCTATCCAGAGAAACTATATCTTCAGACAGAGGGTTTCTGAGGTGTTTGGGGCCTAGAACAATAACATTAATAATAATTGTCTGAATTTAACATAAGGAAATTGGAGCTCATCCAGGTTTTTTGTCTTTAAGGCATGTTTGAAATGTAGTTAATTGATCTGCTTCTTCTGGCTTTATCGATTAATACAGTTGTGTATCATCCGCGTAACTATGTAAATATACAGAGAGATTTCTAATGATGTTACCTAAGGGAAGCATACATAAAGTGAATAGAATTAGTCTGGGCACAGAACCTTGTGGAACGAAATAAACTTTTGTATGCAAAGATGATTCATCACGAACATGAATGAACTGAAATCAATCAGATAAATAGGATTAAAACCAGCTTAGTGCAGAACCTTTAAGGCCAATTAAATGATGGTCAGTTGTGTCAAATGCGGCAGTAAGATCTAATAAAACAAGAACAGAGACAAGTCTTTTGTCTTAAGCAATCAGAAGATCATTTGTCATTTTTACTAGTGCTGTCTCTGTCCTATGATGGACTCCAAATCCTGACTGGAATTTCTCAAATTATTGTCATGGAAAAAGTCACATAGCTGGTTTTCGACTACTTTCTCAAAGATCTTTGAAAGAAAGGGAAGATTAGATATGGATATATAGTTAGCTAACACCTCTGGATCCATGGTGGGCTTTTTTAGTAGAGGTTTAATTGCAGCGACTTTAAAGGACTGTGGTATATTGCCTGTTAATAAAGACATATTGATAATGTCTAATATAGAAGTGTTAACTAAAGGTAAGACTTCTTTCAGGACCCTGGTTGGAAAGGGGTCTAAGAGACACGTTGATGATTTAGATGAGGAAATCACTGAGGTAAGTTGTTAAAGGGTAATCTGAGAGAAGCAATCCAAATACATATGAGGTCTTAAAGCTGTGTTTAAATTCCCTGTGTTTGAAGGCAGATTGGTATTGTGTGTATGAATTTTGACTCTAATTGTTAGAATTTTGTCATTAAAGCTGCTCATAAAATCATTACTGTTGAGGGCTAAAGGAATAAAAGGCTCAATAGAGCTGTGACTCTCTGTCAGCCTGGCTACAGTGCTGAAAAGAAACCTGGGGTTGTTATTTATTTATTTTTATTCATTTTCTTCTATTAATGCTGAGTAATAGTTTGCTCTGGTATTGTGATGGGCCCTCCTATACATATACATAGTTTAAGACTGTATTCCTAGACTTAACGAGATTCTTCCAGCTTGGTTAAATGCAAATTCCTTTTAGATTTTCACGATATTTGTTTGGTTTTGGGAGTTGTACTAAGGAGCAAACTTTCTTTGTTTCATTAACTTCTTTTTAAGACGTGCTACAGAGTTGAGTGTTGTTTGCAGCAACCCTGCAGCACTATCAACAAGATAATCAATTTGGGAGAGGTTAAAGTCAGCTAAGGAAACCTCTGTACAGTGGGACATAGTATTAAATTTTGCTACAGCACTATCCGATAAACATCTAGTATAGTAGCATTTGCTGAGTAATAGAGTAATAAGAAATCAAGAGTTAAAAAATGGCTTGATAAAGAGGGATTCTGCGGAAAGACTATTAAGTTTTCAATTTCAATTCCATATGTCAGAACAACATTGAGCGTGTGGTTAAAACAGTGAGTAGGTTTATGTACACTCTGACTGAAGCCAGTGGAGTCAAATAATAAGATAAACGCAGTAGCAGGGCAGTCATTGTCAACATCAACATGAATATTAAAATCACCTACAATAAAAACTTTATCTGATTTAAGAACTAAAGTAAATAAAAACTCTGAAAATTCAGAATACGGGCCATGAGCATGGTATACTATGACAAATAGAAATGACTGTGAGGTTCTCCAGGTTGGATGTAAAAGACCTAAAGACAAGGCTTTTAAAAAAATAAATTAAAAAATTAAAAAATAAAATAATAAATTAGTTTAGGTTTAGGGTTGGTTAATAGAGTAAAGTCAAAAATCACTGCAACTCCCCCTCCTTGGCCGCTGCCTGGAGGAATGTGGGTATTATTATGACTGGGAGGAGTGGATTCGTTTAGACTAACATTCATCATGACACAGCCAGGTTTCAGTGAGACAGAGTAAATCAATATGATTATCTGATATTAATCAATTCACTTACACTGCTTTTGATGATAGAGACCTGATATTTAACACTCCACATTTAATTCTCCTATTTTGCTTTTCTGTCACAAAAGAGTGGTGTTATTCTTTATTAAGTTTTTTTGTACAACTCCTCTTTTTTTAATTTTAGATTTAAATAATTTAGATGGTTATAACATCATGGGTGGGTAACTGCACTAGAAGCTCAGAGAAGCGTTTAAGACTGCGACTCTGATTCCTGGTCTCAACTCCGGGTTGTCAAGATTTTTAATCACTAATACACTTTGCCGGGTTTCTAGAGATGAGAGCAGCTCCATCCAAAGTGGGATGCATGCTGTCTCTCCCAATCAAACCAGGTTTTCCCCAGAAAGTTTGCCAATTATCTACAAAGCCCACGTTGTTTGTTTGACACCACCTGGACAGCCAACGATTAAATGATGACATATGGAAACATCTCATCAGTGGTCAGATTTGGGAGGGGTCCAGATAAAACTATGGAGTCCAACATGGTTTTTGCATATGTGCACACTGACGCAACATTAATTTTTGTGACCTCTGATTGGCGTAACCCAGTGTCATTACCGCCAAAATGAATAACAATCCTACTGAATCTTTGTTTATCCTCAGCCAGTAGTTTTAAATTTGACTCAATGTTGTCTGCTCTGGCCCCAGAGATACATATGACTATGGTCGATAGTGTTGCTAACTTGATGTTCTCAGAATAGAGCTGCCAGTGACCAGAGTTTTCTCCTCAGTGGGTGTGTCACTGAGTGGGGAAAAAATCGTTAGGAACCTGAACAGGCTGGTGGTGGACTGTGGGCTTCAACTTATTAGGCTACTATGCTTCTCTCGAACAGTCACCCAGCCTTCCAGCTGCACCGTGGTTGCTGGAGGACCGCTAGCAGAAGCTATGCTGTGTGGCTCCACGCTGGCTACAGGGGACTGGCTAACTACTGCAGCTACTGAATGATGTTCCATGGTGCAGAGCCATGCTTCCAATTTACTAAGCCCCACCTCCAATGCAGTAAATACACTACACTTATTACATGTAGCCTACTACTATCGCTAAAGGAGGCAGATGAATAACTAAACATCCCACACACCGAGCAAGAGAGAACAGGAGAAGGAGAAGCTATTGCTAAGTGCCAAGCTAACATAGCTAACAAGGCTAATAGCATGTAAACAACAGCTGGAATAAGCAAGAATGTCACTGAAAGAAGAAGACAGCTATGAGTGCTTAAACAGAACTGGTGTGGGTTTAAACGTGCAGTAGATATTTAGCAGGTGAAATGGTTGAATATCAGAAAATTAGCTGGTATGAACTAGCTAGAGCAGCGCAAAGACACTATCACAGAAGCACCTGAAATGACACAACACGCTAACCACAGTACGTCAGCACGTCAAGGAGTCAGTCCATTAGCAAAATCATGAGCAAATCATCTGTAGACTCCAATGATCTCAACAGTAACCACCAAATTGTACCTTTCAGTACACTGATGTGGATTTTATGGCCACAGAGAATACAACATTCTGAGTGAGGTTAAACAATATTTTCACATAACATAACCTTTTGAATTAATTATATATTTTCTGCCTTTGCTTTTTGTCTCTGCAGAATGCAGGGGACGTTGAGAGCACCTTAACTTCTCTCAGTGTCCTGGATGAACTTCTGTCTGCTGGTGAGCTCAGATCAGCTTTTGACTACTTAAACATATTTGATATAGCAATATCATGTAAGGGACTAACAATTATATCCAGCAGTAAACAAAAGGATAGTGTAAAACCTGGTAGTTGGACAAAGAACAGAGGAGGGGAGCAGTTTGGATGCAGGAAAGTGATACATTTAATCTGCTCAAGCAACTGGGTTGCAATGAGTTTCAAACTTCTCAAATTTCTCACTATGTCCAAATGTTGTAAATATTGTTACTGGAAGGTTACAGTCATAATGAGTGAAATAATATTTGATATCATCGTTTAGAACTTTATCCTGGTTGTGCTGTTATTTATAATAACTTCACTATTTAAAAGTTTACAGCTTAGTAGAAGTATCTGGACGGTAATCAATGTGAATGAATGCTTTGTCCCATCCACTCCTGTTGTGTAATCAGCTGTTATATTGATGTTTTTTTTTGGTTCTTCAATTACATCTATTTTAACAGAGAATAAACAAACAAACAAACAAACAAAAAAACAGTAGAATTCTGATGCTAGATGTATTACCTACATGTGAAACAGTTTGGGCCCCGAAAGAAAGCAGAATTCAATGATTCAAAATTCCATTTAGTCGATGTCCTCATAGTAATGCATGACAGGAACCAATAATGTTGGAACTTTAGTTTTACCTGAGGAGAGTAGAACAAATGACCCTCCATCATTACTAAGCCACAAAGGTTCACATGGGCTCTAATTATTGAGTTAATCCATTTTTCTTTGAGCCCTCTGCAGTCTGGCAGTTAACAGTAGTTTTAGCTGAGTAACTCTGATGCAAAATATTTGCAGGCAAGTATTTCGCTTCTTTTGTTTTAATTATTTGTCACACCCATGGAGTGTAAAGCCCGTTTCAGTATTATACTGAAGCGAATAAAAACTATAGACTGAAACTAAAAAAATAATTAAGCAATGAAGACTATAATGAGCAATGCCACTCTGGAAATTAAATGAAACTAAACTGAACTGAAAACAAAATTAAAAAAATAGATAAAAATAAAAACTAAGGACAAATACAAAACTATCATAACTCTGCAGTCTGTTTCTGTTTTTATCCGAACAACAACTTTTACATCTCAGAAAACAGCATTTTTTGTCCTCTGGCATTTTTGAAGTCCTGGTCCCCCACCTCAAGTATTTCTATGTGAAAAAAATCTACATAAAAGATGGTGGCTGGAAACACAGTTCATGGCATAATTTGTGTTTCTACCTCAAGACACTGAAAATAAAAATGAGTCTTAAGCACTGATTTTCAGATTCAAAGGTGTTTAAAGGCATGTACTCCTTTAACCCTCCGGTCCCCCTCGGACAGAAAACGTCCTTTTTAAGTGATTTTTCAGTTTTTATTTTTTGATAACTTTGGCTGTGTTCATGCATATAGCATGACATTTGGTCAGAAACTTTATTTTTGGTGATATTTTGAAATTTTAAAGCCGCTCCTAAATCAGGCCTAAAATACACAAATGGCAACCTTGTACGACATCTCGCCCTCTCAGATGAAAACCGTCCCCATTGTAACCCATTAAAACGACATTTTTTGATTCCCCTTCAATTTACATAAAAAACGTCATTTTTTTCTATCTCTGGCAGTCAGGTTGGTTAGAGAGACCTAAAAAACAGATGGGGTCAATTTCCATTTTTGGGGCCCTGCTGTCTTTTCAATACAATTCCTGGTTTGGCCACTTGAAGCACTATAGGCCCCTAACAGGGAGGGCAAATGCAGAGTAGATCAAAAAATGGTCTTGCTGTGCTCATAAAGATGTGACAGTGTGGTCTGTATAAAAATATTGCAATATTAGTTTGTGTGTGTGTGTGTGTACATGGACTCAAAATACACAATGTCAAATCCCTATGTGAAAATATAGCTAAATGTAAAACCATAAATTCCGTATTTGTTCATCACATCCTCAGAAACATGAATTTGATGATATTAGTCATGCATTACAGAGTTAGGGGATCAAAATGGAAGTTTTTACTAAAATCCAGCTGAATCATACATTTTCTCCTGCTTCCCCAGTAGAGCAAACACACACTAAATAATAAGTAGTAAAATTTCCTGTATGCTAGGTTAGTGTTGATATGGATGTCTGTGTGTGTGTGTGTGCATGTGTGTAATTGTGTAGCTAAAAACTGCAAATTATGAGCTGCAGGTTGCTGCAAGGTTACATTACTGTTTTCGCTCTCTCTCTCTCTCTCTCTCTCTCTCTCTCTCTTTCTCTCATACACACACACACACACACACACACACACAATGAATATTTGGTATGTATAATCCAAGTAGGAGTTGGTTAAAAGATTTAAGCAAAAAAAGTAGAAAAAAATATTAATATTTAATATTTTTATGGTTCTTTTTCAACAAGGACGAAAAACGTCCCGAAGGGGAAAGGTGTCAGTGTTTTACAAGGGGGACCAGAGGGTTAAAATTGAAACTGCACAAAAAAATAATAATGCATCAAAATTGGTGTGTTTATTAATCATTCACATATCCCAGACTGTGATAATTAGAAAAAAAATCCATCCAACATTTATTATATAGAAAGTTATTCATAATTCTTTTTTTTTCATAAAAGTAACAGTGACTTCATGTAAAGAAAATGGCATATAAAGGGTTAAAAATCCTCAAAATGAATGAATATTTGATGTGTATAATCTGAGTAGGAGTTGGTTAAAAGATTAAGCAAAAAAAAAAAAAGTAGAAAAAAATATTAATATTTAATATTTTTAGGGTTGTTTTTCAACAAGGACAAAAAGCGTCCCGGAGGGGACAGGTGTGATTTTTTACAAGGGGGACCGGAGGGTTAAATATAGTATTAGTACCAGGGCAAACACTCCAATACATCAGACTCCTGAGCAAGTCTGCCTCTCCATCCTTCCCCTTCAATCAAACAGTTTTTCTCTGTATAACCAAGCACTACTTTTGTTTCTGTGGAACCCCTTCCAGCAGAGGAAACACCATTATCCAGTCAACCCTCTCTTTCTGTTTAGGTACAGATCGTCGTATCCACTATATGATCAGTAAAGGTGGCAGTGAATCCTTGCTTACTGCACTGGTCAACACTGGGCGCAGTTTCAGTCCCAACTACACCATCTTGCTGCCACTGCTGCACCTGCTGGCTAAAGTTGGACACAGAGGTGAGTGTGGATGAAAAGATGAATTATAAAGATCTCATGATGATAAATAAAAACTCAAATGTTTGACAATTCAACAAAACCTCAGACACACCACAACTTAATTAGGGACCTCGGTCAAAGGACTAAGTCCCTCTTGTTTCTGGTGCGTTTATTATTATTAGGGACCTCGGCTGAAGGACGAAGTCCCTCTTGTTTCTGGTATGTTTATTAGGGACCTCGGCTGAAGTGCGAGGACCCTCTTGTTTTTGGTGCGTTCATTATTAGGGCCCGAGCTACAACGAAGTTGTCCATGAGGACCCTATTGTAATCGCGCTGTTTATTATTATTTATTATTATTAGTGGTCCAAGCCCGCGGGGCTTGGGGAAGGCGTATGCAAACAGATGCGTTTCCCAGGACCAGCGGTGCTGGGAACCCTATTGTAATGTTCAGATTTTTATTAGGGCCCGAGCGACAACGAAGTCGTCCAAGGACCCTATTGAAATCGCGCTGTTTATTATTAGGGCCCGAGCACCTAAAGGTGCGAGGACCCTATTGAAATGCAAGGATTTCTTCTTCTTCTTCTTCTTCTTCTTCTTCCAAATGAATTGCCTTTTTGGGAGGCTTAACATACCTGAAAACTCATGAAACTTTGCACATATATCAGGACTGGTAAAATATTTGATATTTTAAGGGTTTCGTGCACGGGTTCCAAAAAAATGGCTCAGTAGTGCCCCCTACAAAAGTTTGAGGAAACAGCCCCTGAAGCTAGTTTAACCTACGTACATGTACGAAACTTGGCAGGCTTATGTAACGCTCAGAGACGTACAAAAAAGCCTCTTGGAGGCATGCTCTAAACCCAACAGGAAGTCAGCCATTTTGAATTTACTGTGTAATTTTGGTGCATTTTTGGCCATTTCCAGGGGTCCTAAATGAACGTACTCATCCTAGCGATTTCATCCAATCGACTTCAACCCTTGGTCTGTCCCACCCCAAGACTTTGAAGATGAAAAGTTATCAAAATGCTTGAGTTTTCGTCAATGCGTGTGACCGTGGGATGACGTCAAAGTTAGGGGTCTCGCCACTAAACAGAAAGTAGTTTATAACTCCAGCATACATGGTCCGATTTTGGCCAAACTTCACAGGATTGAACATATCTACATGTCAATAATCAGAGATAAATATAGCGCCCCCTACTGGCAACAGGAAATGTCATGTTTTAGTCTTTAATGTATATCTCCTACAGAATTGACCAGATCCACCTCAAGCTTTGTGAAAAAAAGCCATAAAACGCTGATGACGCTTTATTGTGGAAACTATGAGTTTTCGTTGAAGGGTGTGGCCATGGCGTGGCGGCAAACTTTGATGTTTCGCCGTGATGATAAACGTTGCTGTAACTTGACTCCACGTGGGAATATCTTGCCAAAACTTCACACATATGATGACAGTCCAACCCTGAACACATCTACAGAGGAATTTTGAATCACCGCCATAGCGCCACCTACTGGCAACAGAAAGTTACTTTATACATTCTTTGATGTCCCTCTTCTAGCAGGTTAATCAGACCCACCTCAAACTTGCTGGTCTAAGTCCTTAGACCTTGATGATACTTAAAAATGAAGCTTTTGAGTTTTCATCAAACGCTGTCACCGTGGCGCTGCCTTGTTTGCCATCAAACATGATGTTGTTTTGAAGGAATAAGGGATGCTTGAAAACTCTCCAGACGTGGCATACACATCACAGGTCTCAAGTCCTGCTGTCTGATGTAATTTTTGTGCGTTGATACACCAAGATGGCTCAACAGCGCCCCCTAGAACATTTCAATTAAGCAGCAACTGAAGCTGGTTTGACCTGCATGTATGAAACTTGGTAGGCACCTGTAACACTCTATCATGTACAAAAAAGCCTCTTGGAGTCATGCTCCAAACCCAACAGGAAGTCCACCATTTTGAATTTACATGTGCCACTTTTGTGCATTTTTGCCTATTTCCAGGGCTTGTAAATTAATGAACTTGTCCTACAGATTTAATCAGATTGGCTCCAAACTTGGTGTATGTAAGCGTGACTATGTTGTGACCAAAAGTTATCACAGGATTTGCCCAGTGTTGAATGGCGCGCCCGCTGCCGAGCGTTGAATCTTGAGGTCTCGCCATGAAAAACGAAATTGCTGTAGCTTTGGCATAAATGGTCCAATCTCCACCAAGCTTCACATGATTCGTATTAGTCCCGCCCTGAACACATTTTCATTACCATATTTCCTGATAATTATAGCGCCAGCTAGTGTCAAAAGGAAGTACTTCTTATCAGACACTTATGTTTGGATTAACCTGAAATTTCAATGCTGTGGTCTATATTTGATTTTCACAAACATGACATATCATTAGTGTCTACGTGTGCTGCAGAGGGTTTAATTTTGATGTCTTGCCATGAAACAGGAAATTGCCATAACTTTGGAGAAAATGGTCCGATCTCCATCAAAGTTCAGATGATTCATATTAGTCCTTCCCTGAAAACATTTATTTGACCGTATTTCCTGATACTCATATACCACCTTGTGGCAACAGGAAGTAGGCCTCAATTAAACACTTATCTTTTGATTTATCTGCAAGTTAAATGCTGTGGTGTATATTTGATGTATAAAAGCATGATCTATAATAGTGTGCTCTCCAACTCCCTCTCGTGGAAAGAGGAAGTGATCCAGTGACCTTCTGATTGCTTCAGACAAAGGACTCGTCTCTGTACTCGTTTTATTAGATCTTAGTGTGGCGTTTGACACAATTGACCATCAAATTCTGCTACAGAGACTGGAACACTTAATTGGCCGAAAAGGTTCTGCAATAAGCTGGTTTAAATCTTATTTATCTGATCTTTTTCAGTTTGTTCACGTTCATAATGAATCATCCTTACGTACTAAAGTTTGTTTTGGAGTTCCGCAAGGTTCTGTGCTCGAACCAATCCTATTTACTCTATATATGCTTCCTTTAGGTAACATCATTAGAAATCGCTCTGTAAATTTCCATTGTTATGCGGATGATACACAGTTGTATTTATCTATGAAGCCAGAAGAAACTAATCAATTAACTAAACTTCATAATTGCCTTATAGACATGAAAACCTGGATGAGCACCAATTTCCTGATGTTAAATTCAGACAAAACTGAAGTTATTGTTCTTGGCCCCAAACAACTCAGAGACTCTTTATCTGATGACATAGTTTCTCTAGATGGCATTGCTCTGGCCTCTAGCACTACCGTAAGAAACCTCGGAGTAATATTTGATCAAGATTTGTCTTTTAATTCTCATTTAAAACAAACCTCACGGACTGCATTTTTTCATCTGCGTAATATTGCGAAAATTAGGCCTATCCTGACCCGAAAAGATGCAGAAAAATTGGTCCACGCTTTTGTTACCTCTAGGCTGGATTACTGTAACTCTCTATTATCAGGTAGCTCTAGTAAGTCCTTAAAAACTCTCCAGCTAATTCAGAATGCAGCAGCACGTGTACTAACGGGAACTAAGAAACAAGATCATATTTCTCCTGATTTAGCTTCTCTGCACTGGCTCCCTGTAAAATCCAGAACTGAATTTAAAATCCTACTGTTAACTTATAAAGCTCTAAATGGTCAAGCTCCGTCATATCTTAGAGAGCTCATATTGCCATATTATCCCACCAGAACATTGCGCTCGGAGAATGCAAGGTTATTCGTGGTCTCTAAAGTCTCCAAAAGTAGATCAGGAGCCAGAGCCTTCAGCTATCAGGCTCCTCTCCTGTGGAATCATCTTCCTGTTGCGGCAGACACGTCTCCACATTTAAGACTAGACTTAAGACTTTCCTCTTTGATGAAGCTTATATTTAGGGCTGGCTCAGGGCCCGAGCGACGATGAAGGCGTCCGAGGACCCTATTGAAATCTCGCTGTTTATTATTATTAGGGCCTGAGCAACAACAAAGTCATCCAAGGACCCTATTGAAATTGTGCTATTTATTATCATTATGATTATTATTAGGGCCCGAGCGACAAAGAAGTCGTCCGCGGAGGACCCTGTTGAAATCGCGTTGTTTATTATTAGGGCCCGAACGATGACGAAGTCGTCCGCGGAGGAACCTATTGAAATTGTGCTGTTTATTTTTATTATTAGGGCCCGAGCAACAACGAAGTCGTCCGCGGAGGACCCTATTGAAATCGCGCTGTTTATTATTAGGGCCTGAGCGATGACGAAGTCGTCCGTGAGGACCCTATTGTAATTGCGCTGTTTATTAGGGCCCGAGCGACGACAAAGTCGTCCGTCAGGACCCTATTGTAATCGTGCTGTTTATCATTATTATTAGGGCCAGAGCAACAACGAAGTCGTCCGCGGAGGACCCTATTGAAATCGCGCTGTTTATTATTATTATTAGGGCCCGAGCGACAATGAAGTCGTCCGTGGAGGACCCTATTGAAATCGCGCTGTTTATTATCAGGGCCCGAGCGATGACGAAGTCGTCCGTGAGGACCCTATTGTAATCGTGCTGTTTATTATTATTATTAGGGCCTGAGCGACGACGAAGTCGTCAGCGACGGACCCTATTGAAATCGTGCTATTTATCGTTATTATTATTATTATTATTATTATTATTATTGTACCAACATTTCGTGTCCCAATTTCGCCCCTTTCCCAAATTTCAAAATGCTTCTAACTTTCCACATTCGTCCGGCCGGAACCCAAATTCGATATTTTTGGGTGGTTGCACATGGTCGTCGCGAAATGCTGAAATAGCGCCCCCTACAAATTTTCAAAATACCCTCCCCATTGGGGTTTATTTGTCGTAGGCAAACAAAATTTGGTACACACATGTATCATACGGAGACGCACAAAAAAGTCTCTTGACATCATGGTAAAATCCCAACAGGAAGTCGGCCATTTTGTTTTGAATTTTTTTGTTACAACAATTTCCACAACTTAAATTTGAACTGCTCCTAGGGATTTTGTCCGATCAACTTCAAATTGGCTACAGATCATCCTGAGAACATGCTGATCAAAACTT